AAAGAACAGAAAACCTCGCCATCCAGAGGCTCCAAAAATGCAGGATATCAGACTATCCTTTAAGAGGCCTACACTGCGGGCTACCACTAAGATGGCGCCCGACCCGCCAAGCAAGGATGAAGCCTCGGAGAACTACCAGGAGGAAGAGGAAGCTCCGGCCTCACAGTCGGAGGGGACCCCCTCTAACGAGTCTGAGTCTAATGAGGACTACTCACCGGCAACAAAGAGAGACATCAAAAATCTCCTGCTGGATATGCGGCGGGTGTGGAAGGCTGACCTCTTAGACACACGCACAGAACTAGGGACCCTCAAACAAAGGATCACAACAATCGAAACCAAAGAGGTAGCCAGAGAACAGAGGGTGCAAGACACCCAAAACAATCTGCAAGCACTAACGGAGCAGGTGTAGAAACTTACCAAATCGATGTCCAGGCACAGAAAGAGAAACATCCGCCTTTGAGGCATCCCGGAACGCATTGAGGGAGATGCAGTACTGCCCTTCCTCCGGCGCTTCATGGCCTCTATGGGCATAAGAGGCAACACAGGATCAGAGATACTAACGTCAGCATTACAGGTCGGCTGCCCCAGCGGACGTGCCAAGAGACGTAATTGCAGTGACCAAAGATATTGCGATCCGGTCTGAAATTACTGCCGGTCTGAAATTACTGCCAAATCGAAAGAGCTGGGAACCATATATATATATATATATATACACACACACACTTTTATTTCCTATATATGTATAATATATTATAATTAAACATTTTATAATATATTATACATATATAATGCATATATTTGATTTCATTATACATAGGGATGCACCAAAATGAAAATTCTGTGCTGAAACCAAAACCGAAAATTCAAGATGCCCTTGGCTGAAAACCGAAACCAAAAACAACTTTTTTCCCCCAAGTGATTTTAAAATATTTTTTTCTATAATTTTATTAATATTAGACTTTTTATTACACAGTGTGGGAGGAGGTGACTGGTGACAGAGTGACTGAGGGAGGGGGTGACTGGTGACAGAGTGACGGGGTGACTGGTGTCAGAGGGAGGGAGGAGGTGACTGGTGGCAGTGAGTGAGAGAAGGGGTGATTGGTGATCGTGACTGAGGAAGGGGGTAACAGAGTGACTGAGGGAGTGGGTGGGTGACTGACTGAGGGAGGGGGTGACAAAGTGACTGATGTAGGGGGTGACTGGTGAGAATGACTGAGGGAGGGGGTGACAGAGTGACTGGGTGACTGGTGACAATGACTGAGGGAGGGGGTGACAGAGTGACTGATGGAGGGGGTGACTAGTGACAGTGACTGAGGGAAGGGGTGCCTGGTGAGAATGACTAAGGGAGGGGTGACAGAGGGACTGAGGGAGGGGGTGACTGGTGACAGAGTGAGGGTGTTAGAAATACTATAGCTTCTATCTATCTCCATTACTGACAATGAAGGAGGTGCTCAGTAAGTTGCTGAATACAACAATGTGGATTTTAACATTTAATTTTATTTTACAGCCATTACAAACACATCTCTGTTAAATTAAGAATACAACAGGGCAGCACTTTTCCTGTGGGTCCCACCCTCTATGTAGAGGTGATATGTGTCCAAGAAAAATGGTGCATTTAGCAATCCTAAAGCTAGTCCCTGCTTCCTCCCTCCTGGTCTAGAACGCCAGTTGAGGAAGTGTGGGCCTCTGCGTAACATGGAAGATTCCATTTTTTTTAACTTGGATTCATAGTTGCTCTGTAGTTTCCTGTATCCCCCCTCCCCGCTGCCGGCCGCACACATTGCTGGTAGAGGGGACCACCCGGTGTGCGGGTCTGAGAGCAGAGTCCCCGCACCCTGCTCCCCGCCGGTACCCGAAACCCCTCCTGCCGCCAGACTCGGAGGGTGAATCCTGGGAGTGACATCAGATGGGATTCCATGTGACAAGTACCATCGGAGGTCCTCCCTGTCCTCCATTCCCCGCCAGTGCCGGTCCCCGCGGGCAGCCCAGACTGGGGACACCGGGCACAGCCCGCTCGCTGCTCACCTGGACACATCACAGGAGCTTCCACGCCCGGATCTGTGTCATGGGGTCCATCAGTGATGGCAGTGCTGGGGCTGTCAGTGGGGTCAGCACTGGGTTCGGGGGCTGTCAGTGAGGCAGTGCTGGGTTGTGGGGCTGTTAGTGAGGCAGTGCAGGGTTGGGGGGTTGTCAATAGGAATTGTGCATCCCTGGTGTAATTTTCTATTTTCGTCCAAAATGGGATAGGCCCATTTTTGCCTGAAAATTTCTGCAGCCGAAATTTCGGTGCATCCCTAATTATAAGTGTATTTTGAGATATATGTGTATACATTTATAACATTATTTATTTTTATTTATTTTTTAGCAGCCAGGGGGATTGCCTGACCGCTCAGACAGTCCCCCTGCTAGCAGCTCCATAGGCTCCTATGTCGGCGATGTGATCATGGAGATCACATGGCCCTGGAGGGCCGGAGCTGCTGCAGGCCAACTGTGATTGCCCTGGATCACCGGCCGCACCTAATAACGACCATTTTTACGGCTGTTAAGGGGATATGCATTTATAACGT